TGTTTTTGTCCAGAAGAATTTTGAGGTTACCTGAATTATAATTTGGGTTGTTTTTATAAAGACAATAAAGGTGTTGAGTTGAGATTTAAATGATTGTGCATTCCTTTGCACTCGTGTTGACCCATGCAAGTGTTAGACTACACATGCTATATTTCATGCACCTGCGAACATACGGATAATTTTTCCTGTAACATTATTGGCCTTTATAATTAGCATAAAATGTTAATTATTTCACCCTAGCACGGCATTTATTCGTGACCCCCCCTTTACCTAAAGTTTGCCTTTTGAATTACATGTATGTCCCTTGCCATTGCTTGTACCTGTCCAACATTTTGATTGAAACTATGTTACAAAAACTTGTATCTATTTATAGCAATTTGTTTAAAGTTAATGAATCAATGTAAATTTATATGTTTTTAAGGAGCGGCTTGTATAATGTAGTTAGCATAAAACGTTAATTATTTCACCTTTAGAAGGCCACTTATTCGTGACCACCCCAACACAAGGTAGTGATTGGATAAATAATGTAAGTGTATGGTTTTTCATCGAAGTGATTTGAGCAAGAGTTATTCCCCATCACCGGCATTATACATTGTAGGTCGGTTTTTCCTAGCTCCCTAGCTTCATAACATTCTATTAAGTTAAATTTGTTATTCTGGGCACCGGAATAAAGGTTACATTTTTTATGACAATACATTTGTAAAAGCCGCTTTTAATTCATACCAATATTCATTTGAAAATTAGACAACTAGGCTTATTTAACCTTCAATCCAATGAAGGTATGCGCAATCGGATTTAACCTTTCAGAAAAAATGGTCAAACGTGCTCTATTTGAGAAGACACTGTCAGGCTAACACGTTTTTTTTTAAATATCGATCCAAAATTGATATTATTGTATTGCCTGAACCAATCTACCCATGTGCTCGTCTGCTATCTTAGAAAGGAGGGAAATTACGTCACGTACCATGTATAATTAGTCACTGTGGCATTTCTAACACACAAAAAAAAAAAAATAGTATGTGCAACCCAGATTATTCTGCGAAGCATATACTCAATCTAAAATGTATCACTGAGATAAAATCCCACATTGTGTTATAATTGAAACAATTCTATTAATTTCACAATTTTACTGGACTATCTAGTCAAATGTTTTTTGGAAACCAAAAAGATTATGGGCGCCATTATGCAACAAGTGACGTATGGGGAATACCTTCCCGCCATTTTAGGGAAAGACACTCGTAAGAAATTTTGTTGAAACTTCGAAGAAATGGATATTGGAACAGATATGATCCAAAAGTGAACCCCACTGTTAAGAACGTCATTGCAACTGCAGCGCTTTGATATGGACACTCACAGGTTACATAGTTGCAACTTATACTTTATTTTTTTTTTTAATCAATACAAAATTTTATACACATAAGTGAATGGGATTGGGATGCAAGAAAAGCCTATTTTAGCCTTCTTCCTAGTAAAAAATATATTTTCATTAATAATTATATTAAAAAAGATTGTGCATTTTTCACTATAACATTTGGGGGTTTCTATACATTTGAATTTCTTTAAAAGTCACGTCTATTTTTCATTAAATTTCCCCAATGTTATTAAAATTAAAGAAAATTAATTTCTTGTAGTTGAGGAAGAAAAATAAACATTGATTCATACAAATTTTCATCTATCCAGATTCCACCAGAGCTAGGCTATATGACGCGTATGTTTGCTACATCTAAAGTATTTAAATCGGAAGATGTCTTCATGGACCCCAATATTGTTGTCACACAACAAGGACAAAACATTCCAGATTTAGCGCGGTTTTTATTGGGCACCCCTGCAAGAAAAGTTGATAGGTACATTACTCTACTTCACCATCACGTTACTTTAGACGATAAGGTTAATCAAATTAAATAATAAAATTATATACAACCAAATGTAGAAAAGTTATTGAGATATTAACCTTTTGTTAAAAATAATGAATAGATTACATAGATGGACAATCTTGAAGTAATATTTGAATCAACAGAGTCTTTATCTAAATCGTATTTGAATTCAAAATTCTGCAAAAATAAAAAAAAAAAGCAAGGAAAACTCAAAAACATGACATCTAGTGTAAACTATTTTTCTTAACTGTTTCAGACAAATTGAAAATGCTGCTAGAAATGAATTATTCCCTGATGTTAATGGAGTAACCTTTGACCTAATGTCATTCAACATTCAAAGATGACGGGACCACGGTTTGCCCGCCTACAACGAGTGGAGGAAGTTGTGTAAACTTTCGGTAGCAACAACTTTTTGAATTACAAGATCATAACTCCGACACAATTGCGAGATTTGCAAGATGTTTATGAGTAAGCGTGTCTCACATGAAATCTCGATTTCAAAAAAAAAAATAAGCCATAGGGTTATATCTGATTAACCTAAAGACCTTATAAGATGTTGTTCATAAAGTTTAGATAAATGGCGGTTCATTTTACAGCCACGTTGACGACATTGATGTCTTTGTTGGAGGGATTTCAGAAACAACTCGAGCAGACGCAGTAGTAGGTCCGCTTTTGAATGTTTATTAGGATGGCAGTTCAAGGAACTAAGGTTTGGGGACAGATATTGGTACGAAACGAAGGGGATAGAGGGATTCACTAGAGGTATCTTCAGGTCTTTATTTTGGGATAGGTATAGATAAGACCGTATTTGGCTTAATCTTCGTAAACGGATAACATAACATTTTCTCTTTTAGAATATATCCTGAATGCATTTTTTAATTGGATTCTCAAAGGTTATTTTTACTCACGTGTACAATAGAATAGAAAAATGTGTAATAACATCTAAAATGCCTAATGTCACCTCTATCCATTTTCATTAATTAAATCTAAAATTTTGAATAAATTATGGTCTATAATATTTTTTGCGTTTTGCTAATTTATCTTTAAATAAATAGTGGACATGTCTTGAACAAGTTGTAAATATAATAGAATAATGATTTTTGACAGGTCAGCTAAGAGAAATAAGAAAGATGACGTTTTCTAAGATACTCTGTGAGGCGTTGAATCTGGATGAAGTTCAAAAAGATGTTTTCAACCTTGTAGGATCAAAGTAAGTATAAGTTTAATGTGCAATTAATGTACTTTGATCTTTTCAATCTCAATTATTGTCGCTCATTTCCAGAACAGAGTGTTTTGATAAGAAACAAATATTTAAGTATAAGATTAATAATTTCCTTATTTCAATTAATTCTCCAAGATTATACATATACATATATGTCAAAATTTGGAAAGAGTAGCTAAAGGTTACAAAATAGAAATAGTTACATGGTGTATATCTCAGAAGCTTTATAAAAACTTATTCAAATTTGATATTTCTTGAGCTATACTGACAGTTAATTATGCCTTTATAGTAAATTGTACATCCTAGTTGTGAATCATTATTTCTTTACGATCATTTTGATAATCTTGTAGCAAGGAACTTCATCACCGGAACATCTTTACAAATATATTTCACACCAATTGTTAAATGTTTGTTTAAATATTTAAAAAAAAAAACCACTGGTTGAGACAGTTCGAAAGCGGATCTTACTCTCCAGGGCTCCCTGGGAATTCCAATGGTCTTTGAATAATGCCTTGTTCACAATTTATATTGATTTCAAATTTTTTTTGGTCAGCCGTGTATAATTTTTCTCACCTTTTCTTTATACACAGCATTCCTTAATTCCTCTATGCTACAAAAGTCAATTTAATGTATAAAGGTTCTAAATATATTTTATTAAAGTCTCTTGTGCATTTTTGTCAAAAAATGTTAAATGTTACCCTTTTTTTTTTACAGAAATCCCCGTGTAAAGTGTTCTTCATTACCCTTTATGGATCTCTCAGAGTGGAAGAAATTTTTCTTCCCTTTCATTGACTGGTCAAAATTCTTTACTTCAGGATTATTTTAAAACGAAAAGAACCGTGTAGTGTGACGAGAACTAGGCTTTGACTCCCCTGAGCCAATAAAAAGTGACCTTTGTGTGTCATAGATATACATATAAATTCGTTTTTATATTTTCATACATAAAATCTTACCACCTATCCTTAATGGTAACATGTACCTGTTATATTTAATTGTATATTTATATCTGCACTTTATATTTATATTTTATCTTACCGTAGGATGAGATGATAAAGTACACTAGTATTCCTCTTATTTTGTCGGCATGTATACCTGTTGAACTAAGGAAAACGTTACAGTCAATACCATATTAATGCCGTTAACAAAATTATATAAACTGCACACTGAAAATGTTTAAATATATCCCTTTATTTAATTCGTTCTGATAACTTTGAAATGACATACATGTAAATGATTGTGCCAAAACTCTTTATTGTAGAGGAACTATGCACATTTGAGACTCCTTTAATTCATTAATTATGTAACCTTTCTACGAATAAATAAAAAAAAAGATCTTTGTGTCATTTTCATACAGGCTTTTATTGGTTTATGTAAAATTAACAGGGTTATCTTCGTTAATGAAGATTAATTTTCTGTAAACCTTTCTGAAAAGACAGTGGATTATTTAGTTTTCATCTGTATTAAAAAAAGGAAATTATATGGTGGAGTTCTGTTTTCATTTATTTTTCACATTTAATCATTAGAAAAGTATTTTCTCTAGTTTAATGGTAATCTATTCCTGAGTTAATAAGGCATTTAAAAACATTCGTAAAAGATTCCTAAGTATATCTTCTTTTGTATCGTTATCTACATCTTTTTAAACTTGGAATTAACTTTTTGGCCCATTAAAAAAAAACCTTACCAGGTTGTTTATAATGCATTATTATTTAAATACATCTCAATTATTGGCTTTTTTATTCTAATAGCATGGGTAACATTTTTCCTTTGAGACACTTATTTTATCACCTTTTAAACTTGCCATGACAATGTCTTTTTTAATTACAAATACCCGCTCCAAAATTTTGGCTAAAGTTGGTTTTTAACTAACATCATTTTGATGTCATTTTACTCTTTCAAATTACTTTGTGTGTATTTTTTTTTCGAAAAGGTAAGTACGTTTTATGAAACAAGAATATCAGAAGTCTCGTTTAAAGTCATCATTTCGTAAGTACTAGGTATGGTCGATACAATAACCTTTTCAGCAAATACAATTTATCATTGAGTCAATTGCTGACTGACTTTTTTTATACTAATTGTTAGGCCATTATTAATACACTGAATTGTCGACGGATATATTTCCATTATTTCCCAACCATGACAAGGAGCACACGGTGGTTGTGACCGATGGGCAGGGGATGTTCACTCCTCCATGACACCTGGCCACAAGGGGATTTAAAAGGATAATTTTAATGACCAACCAGCATTCCACATCACAAACGATTGCTTACCGTTGTTCTGTTAATATAACAAAGCGTCCTAGAATTTTCAAAGAAATATTGTCCATAAACACTTCCGTAAAAGCAATCTTCTTTGGAAAGGTCACATATCTTCTCATCAATGCTTGAAAATAACTCTGGAGGAGCGTATTTGTCAAAAGAACAATCAGTTCCAGCAAATCCCTCAAGGCATGTGCAGTTACCTTTAAGCAAATTAATTCAGCGAAATAAAGTTAATGATGATGACATATAAATATAAAAAATGAACTCCAGTGTTATTAACTGATTTTTAAAAAAAATTCAGTAATATTTAAAATGAATGAATTCATGAATAACAATAAAGCTTTTTTGAGAATTCTTCACTATTGCTTTCAAATTTTTGTATAATATCACATTTTCTTTAAATAACGAAAATTCTATATAGCTTTCTGATTGATCCAGACAGTACGAGAGTTGTACATCAGAATGCGTTCGTTTCGAAATAAAGTTCATGCATGCGCTTTTCGGGGTTTCCTTTCGACAAATCATTTATGACCATTTACATTAATTTTTATCAACCTATCAATTTGTGCGTTTTAAAGCATGTATCTTTGAAAACAAAAATTCCCCACTGTTTGATAAAAAGGTTATTTTCTTTTGAATTCGGCCTTTGTCATCCAATACCTGACCGGGTCCGTAATAATATAAGATCTCATCAAAATTAAATAATTACATAATATGAACAATTATTCATTCATTAAAAATGATTATCAAATCAAAATAGCATTCTACCTTCATTGCAAGTTCCTTTCTCACTACAGTTATTTAGACAAACCATTTCGATCTCAGTTACCACATCCGGCTCCTTAGATTGAAAAGTCACATTCTGGGAGGCAACGATGGCACATTCCTGATTGGCTGCATCCAAATGAAGTCGCGTTATGTTTTCATCTCCAGTCAACTAAAATTAAACTCAAAGCTAATTATAACTACGTCTTTGGTCTTTCTTTTTTCCCCAAGATTTTGTTGAAGTTTTAAATAACAAGCATTCTGAGAGTATTGCATATGCAATACATGTCCCCTACCGGGTTCCCCTTTTTCTTCAGGATGTCATTTTACAAAATGCAAAATTTATGTCCAAGGTAAAACTGCATGATTTTTAGGTTGTGAATTTCTTAAACTTAATAAAATAATCCCCGTTAAGACAACAATTCAACTCATTTTTTAAACGTCTTTTTCTCGCTTCGTATTTATATATGTCAACCATCGGAAGTTAGCGCAGCACGAACCCGATCTTAATGAAACCAATATGAAAAAATTCTGTCAAAAATCAATGGAGCGATGCGAAATTCAAACTTGATCTGTAACTCATTTAGATACACTCACATACCAAAATTCAGCTTAATATCTGCTAGCGTTTAGAAAAAAAGTGCGGAAAACCAAGTGGGACAGACTGGCAGACAGACGGGGACAGACAGACAAACGGATGGACAGACAGACATTTTCACCGGTAGGGGACTAATAAAAATTGATATACATATGAACGAGGGTTGAAAAAAGTTCCTAGACAATAACTTTTTAGTTATAATAAGAGGTTCTATATACTCAAAATATCTGCTATTTATCGAAATATTTCTTATGAAAAACCAAGGCAGAATGATTTAAATTTTATTGATGCAACTTAATATTTTTGTAAAAAATCGGGGTCTTTAAAGGTCGCAGATAATTTGCACGGACCAGTCTGACGTTAATCTAATTTCACTATAACGTCAAACATTTGGATTTTGAATTTTAACACATTTTCATGAACAAACACTACATTTTCTTTTTTATGGCGCCACACTTCCAAGTCTAGCATAATCTTTAGGTGTAGATTACTTATTTTTACAAATTCAAAATAACGCACAAAAATTTACAAGCGTCATCATTATAAACAGTTTGTATACACAAACTGCACAGCCCAGCCCGACGCTGCGCTAGATTTATAACAACGTCATGAATAGAAATCTCCGTTTTCAGCAAATGACACGTGTTTTTAAATTCTTGTGGTGTTTTCGAACTAGTTCACATCGTTGAAAAATTGTATATACCAATCTCAAGTCAATAAACTAAATATTTTTCTGAGTTGTTTTAAAATGTTTTGTCTCTTACGTCGTTTCAACCGTACTAAAACATATTTTTTTTAATTGGACGCTGTCGTTCGGATGGCCGACGTCGCTTTTTCTGTCGAGGTTTGACACATACCTGTTAGGGTTTTTGTTTAGTATTTTCACTGTCTCTATAGTAAGCCATACTTACGATATCAGAAAATTATTCGTTTAATAAAAATTAAATCATTCTGACTTGTTTTTTCGTAAGAATTATTTTGATATAGTTTAATAGATTTATATAGAACCATTTATTTTAACAAATACCACGCTGTCCACGAACTTTTTGGACAACCCTCGTATGTGACTCCTTTTTCAAGGTATTTTTTAAATGATACGTGAAGGGATATAGAACAAGTAAGTAATAGTAAAAATTTCGAAAATTTCATATTTTGCTTTATTGTTAAAATGTTCAATACTCATCAAAATACCAAGACCACAATTTTACATTACCATTACATCCATCACACAATTTGAAAGCGATGAATTTGTGAATTCTGCTACTTTATTTTGACATGTTTGATACAATGAAGATCTGGAAAATGCAGAAAAACAAATTTCTTCAGCCTCTCCTTTAGATGCTACGAATGAATTTCTTTTAACAATCTGAAAAAGACAGAATATATTTCTGCATGTGTTTGATACTTAAAGCCGCTTAACACGAAACAGGCACATATTATCTTACACAATAAAAGTACGTCATTACATAGATAATATATAAAAATTCATTATAAGATTGATTTAATTGTTAAATACAACAATCCTTACATGGAAAACGCAGATCAAAAACCTTATTGACAAACAGTAGTTCCTGACGGAAGTTAAGATCTGTTGTGAAGTCAATTTTGAAAAAAATAAGTTTATCCCATGTTTATACCTTTATCCCGTGGATATAGCTCATGGGATATCGTTTTCATATCCCACAGTTATGACGTCACAATGGTTTTTGCGTTAGCGTGAGGAAGTAAAATATAGCAGAGTCCTATATAAAACAGTGTTAAACATCGGTTGTGAAGTATTAAACATGGGATAAAAAGAATCTCCCATGTTTTGTAGTTGAATATGATTTTTATCCAACTCGTTGTGTGCTTTTATCCCCTCGCCAAGGCTCGGGGATAAAAATCACACAACTCGTTGGATAAAAATCATATCCAACTACAGATCATGGGAGATCCTATTTTTATCGGATCCGATTTATCTAATAATGAACTTATTTCAAACCGGAGTATTTTTTTTTCTCTATTAGTAGAAGCTTTAGTCATAATACATTTTTTCAAAATTAAGAAAATAATTGAATATTATCCATAGTAATTTTTATATTAATATGCATATTTAAAGAATAAAAGAAAATCAGATTTTTTAAATGATTTTTTTTAAAGAAGCTTAAATACTGTCCGTGTCCAGGTAATAAATGTACTTTGTTGTGAAAAAATGCTCGGGTTTGTTCTTCATGAGATAAACATGTAAGCGATAAATTTAATTTTTG